AATTTAATAATTAAAACGAAATATTTATATTTATTTATAACACTACATCGCGCGTCAACATGCCGGGCGCTTCATCGCTGAAACCTGTTTAACCCCGCACTGCACTCGGCCATTTAACAGTGGCTAAAAATGAAATACGAATTTATTAAATGTTTCTAGTTCTTATCGCCATCTACCGAGAGTTTTATTGTAGACCATCGAAAAACCGCCCAGTGAGCAATCTATAATATTTATAATCAATGGTTATATTATATTTTAGTTTATATAGTATTATAATATTATAATATTTACTTAGGCACCTAGACACCTAGTTAATATTAAAAATATTATAATCATATTTTATACAATACCATATTAGTAGGTAATACTAAAACTTAAAAAAACAATATTATGGTGAATTATAAGTTTGTTTTACCATTTATAATAAAAAGTAATCAATTTAAATTGTTTGATGGTTGTAGACAATCCAATACCAAATAAAAAAAAGTCATCAGTTTATCTGAAGTCAAGGACCAACGTTCTTTTGGAGGTATTAATTTGATTGTATTATATTATTTGCTAATATATTTTTATTATAATCATATATTAATAATATAAGGTATGTTTTACATTTAGTCATATAATATTACAATATTATACTTTTAACTTTAGGTAATAACTTATATAGTGAAAAGAAACTTAATTCAGCTGTCACTTCATGGCTTTCTGATATACGTTTGGAAGTTGATAACTATGTGTTTCATGAACCAATCATTGACCAAAACAATTATAATGGTACATATTAAAATTATATTTAATTTGGCTTTACCTAATATCTTGGTAATATATTTTTATATTTAACTAAATTAACAATATTTTGTAGATGAAAACAGTTATTTATTGGATAAAACCCCTCATGATCCTCTATATGCTACTCAAATTGACCAAAGCAGCCATTATAATAATAAGCACAATAATTTAAATAATAATAATATTGAATCAACTATTGTACATTCATCTGGTATTTATAATATTTAGGTATTTATTATTTGTCACAACCTAATGTATACATTTTTTTAAAGGTGATAACAATCATTTTCCTTTAAAATACCTTKATGAAATGAGTATTTGTTTTGAAAATTTGAACCAAACGTTTATGTCTTTATCCAGTGATGATAAAAATAAAAATAATGAAAATTGTTTAAATGGTATGTTAATTGATGGTAGTTTTGTATAATATCTTAATTAAAATTATAGTTGTATTTTTATTAGCTAATATCTTGTATTATTGTAGAAACCAACAATCATGAAAAAACCGGGTAAAACATTTTGAACATCATTCGTAATTTGCCATTTGAGAAATCAAATTATAATGGAAATAGTAAGGAAAATAGTGTAGAAGATAGTCCTCCAGATTCAATACAGAATAGTATCATTCAAGAAACAGAGAATGTAGAACCTACAAAAACACCAGAAAAAGGGAAAAAGAGAAAACGAACACCAGAGTATTGGAAAAAAAAACATCTATCAAGCGATTAAAAGGTGAGGCTTATGTATCATCTACATAAAAAAAACAATTATTTGTCGAAGAAAAAAATGGGCCCCCCATGTCCGGTTACATGTCGAATGAAATGTTATACAAAAATTTCTGAAAGCACTAGAACAATAATATTTACAGATTTTTGGGAAAAAATGTTATCATGGGATACAGAAGGCAATTTATTTCAATGTTGATCGATATAAAAGATGTAGACAGACATAGATTACGAACCGGAAATAAGGCTCAAAAGACTTGTACACGAGTTTTTAGTTTATTAGTTGATAACAAAAAAATGTTTGTATGTAAAACTATGTTTCTTAATACGTTATCAATTTCAAATACATTTTTATGTGTATCACTAAAAAAAACAAATTCTGTCTCAGCCATAACCGAGCCAGATCAAAGGGGTACATGCACCAAATAATAAACTTTCATACAATATTATTGAACATGTCAAGAATCATATAGGTAGCTTTCCATCTTATTTAAGCCACTATTCTAGAGAAAGAACCAAAAGAAAATACTTGGGTCCTGATATGAATATTTCTAAGATGTATCAAGTTTATATTGATGAATGTGAGAAAGCAAAATGATCTAAGTCCAAAATATTTAATTTAAACAATTATAGGTAAGTTATAAATAAAAGAAAAAATATTCATATTATTGAGAATATTATAGCCTATAATTTAAAACAAACCGCATTGATATAATCATTAAATTGAATTTACACCAACCATTTAAGTAAAATAAAAATAGCTGTAAAACGGTTTTTTGGCTCTCCTGAAAAGTTACAATAATGGATTTGGACCCTTCTGCCTCTCAGGTACAGATTTTATCTTAGGTTTGGTTGTATGTGACAATTTAGGATTAAACTGTTTTCTCAACTTTAGCAAATCGTTCTCTAGTAATTATTTTTGTAGATTTTGCAGAGCTCCGAAAGTAAATACACAACAATTAATTTGTGAGATTCCAGAAATAATGCGCACAGTTGAAAACTATCAAATTGATATTATCGATCGTAACTCTAAAGGAATAGTTAAAGAATCCTTACTAAATAATATACCATCCTTCCACGTTGTGAAAAATTACTATGCTGATATTATTGACCTTTTTGAAGGAGTTTGTCATTATAATATAATTCGTATAATTGGTTATTTTAAAACGTCAATGAAATATTTTGATTTGGATACTTTAAATTCTCGAAAGCAATTGTTTGATTATGGACCAAAAGAAATTGAGAATCTTTCACCCAAAATAGTCTTATCATCTTAAAAAAAAAATTAAGAATGTCAGCTAGGGAAATGATGACTTTCATCGTGTGTTTTCCTATTATGATCGGAGATTTTGTTCCTTCTGATGACATAGTTTTGAAATTTCTGATCAACATTGTTGAGATTGTTGATATATTACTTTGTTTTGAGATTGACGAGTGTAGTATACAAATTTTGGAAAATAAAATTAAAGTACATAACTCTGACTACATCACTTTATCCCTTTCAGTACTGATGGGTCTTTCAAGACCCATTCCCTATAATACGTCATAATTTTCCTCTAAAGTATGATAAGGGATAATAGTTTAAGTCATCATAGTATGGAAGGTTTGTATTATCAATAAAATGTATTTTGATAATAATAGATATTGTTTAAAACACATTATAATCAATTAAAAACCATTATAAATAATCCACAGTAAATTTCTTGGCTTAGTCATATTTGACAACATTTTATAGTTCACTGATAGATGGCATGTACTGAAAAAAAATACAGCCATTTTTTMACGTATTTAATGATTAAATATTTATATTGTTTGTTCAATTTGATCACTAGATTGTTCTGATATCGCCTAAAAATGTTTTGGGTCTTGAAAGACCCAGAAGTACTATATTGTTATACAATTATTATTATAAACAATAAATTATAAGACTAAATATAGATGTTTAAACCTGATTATATAACTAATCATTATCAGTATCATACGATTATGCGTTCGACGAATATTATTATTTGTACTGAACGTAACGTATAATATAAATAAATTGTTGTGAACTATTATGCGATTATTCTTTCGTCGAATATTATTATTTGTAATGAACGTATAATATAATTAATAAATTATTGTGAACATGTCAAATCTAAAAGATTTTGAAATTAGTGAACTACTTGATGGAAATAATTCCGATTGTCCATACTTTGATTCTGACGAAGATGACTATGAGTTAAGCAGTAATCGAAATGAAGGTAATGGATAAGTACTATAGGCATGATACTAAAATATATTTTTATAACATTCTTTCCTACTATTATAGGACATTTTCCGATCGAAGAATTTGAAGATYTCATGGCCGATTTAGAAAAACAAAATGTTAATAATGATTTGGACTACGATTATTTGAATACAGATGACGCAGCAAATTTTCTGGACGAGTACAATGATTATATGCCAGCAATAATCAATACTGAATCATTGAATGATAATTTGGTAACTATTCAATTATCTTCTAAACATGAGATTAAATGGGAAAGATTGCCTTTTTCTAATAGTAATAAACCCATCTTAAATGAMATTTTACCTGACGTATCCGATTATTATGAGATTCAAGCTCCTTTGGTGTAWTTTAATCGTTATTTCAATGACGCAGAAATTGAAAAAATGGCAGAAATGACCAACAGGTATGCAATTCAAAATGGATCATCATGGAATAAACCTACTGATATATCGGAAATCAAAACATTTATTGCTCTTCATATTCGTATGGGTTGCTTAAAATACCCTAGGGTACGAATGTACTGGGACACTACTTTAGGTTTATCTAATTTTAGCCAATATATGACAGTTAATCGATTTTTCTCGCTAAGAACAAATTTTCATGTTGTTGATAATTTAACATTGTCAAWTGACAATAACGATTGATTTAAAAAAGTTAGACCCATGTATGACTGTGTTAGAAAGAGATGTAAGCAATTAATTGTCGAGCGTAATATTTCAATCGACGAACAAATTGTTCCATTCACAGGAAAATTAAATATAAAACAGTACTGCAAAGGAAAGCCAAACCCGTGGGGAGTAAAAGTATACGTTATGTGTGGATCAAGTGGAACTATTTATGATTTTTTACTTTATCAAGGATCCGCCACTAAATTTAATATTCCTCCTCAAATACAAAAACAAGTTGGGATGGGCGGAAGTGTCGTATTAACTCTGGCACAAGATTTGGAAAAAAACAAACATTGTTTGTATTTTGATAATTTTTTTGCGGGATATAATTTATTTGAAATATTGCTTCATAAAAAAATTTACGCAGCATCTACAATTCGTGTAAATAGGTTTAGTAAGCCACCCTTTTTGAGCGATAAGTGGATGGCATCGAAAGGTCGAGGTACAACTGATGAAATACGAAATAAGGAAGATACTAWATGCTTAGTAAAATGGTATGATAGMAAGCCAGTTTATATGTGTTCGAACTTTATTGCTTCCRGGGAAGTTGAAAAAGTTAAAAGATGGGATAAAAAAACTAAGCAATATTTAGATATAGAACAACCTGAAGTCATMAAAATGTATAATAAAAGCATGGGAGGGGTCGACAAAATCGATCAATTAATTGCGTATTATAGAATTTTTATAAAGTCAAAGAAATGGACTCTCCGTATGATGTTTCATGCCATTGATATGGCTTGCTRCAATTCGTGGTTGGAATATTTGAAGGACTGTGATAAATTTAAAATTAAAAAAAAAGATAGAATGGATTTACTAAATTTTAAACTTCGACTTGCTGATAATTTAATTAACCTCGCCAATTCTGTAGTGACAAAAAGTAGAGTAAGACCAAGTAGCAGTACTCCGAAAAATTCACCACAGACAAAAAAGAAAAAAAAAAGAGCCATTACCACATGAAGAAACACGAAAAGATTTAATTGGGCACTTACCAATGTATAATAACAATAAATTACGTTGTAAAAAAGAAGGTTGCGGCGCGAAAACTCATGTTTATTGTAAAAAATGCAACGTACATTTGTGTTTTGTAGTTCATAAAAAAAATTGTTTTACTGATTATCATTTATAATTAAAAATATAAGAATTCATAATTGTTAAATTTATTATTTATATTAATAKAATGTGTTTAAAATAATTTAATATAATTATTAAATAAAAAAAGAAAAGTAAAATATMAAATTATTATTTGTATTAGTTGTGTATTCATTTAATAACAATTGAATACCAATGGGTCTTACAGGGACCAACTCCATAAATCCCTCCTCCATAGTCGGATCACCTTTAAATTCGGTAAGTACTTTCAATAGTGTATATAGAGATAAAAAGAAGAAAAAAATTTTTTTTTTTAACTTTTGCAAAATAAGTACTGAAAGGGTTATTTAATGACACACTTAAGTCTAAATTTCACCACTTGACGCATTACCCCAATATTATAAGACAGTCAGGACCTCTAAGACACATTTGGTGTTTCAATTTTGAACAGAAACATAAACAGTTCAAAATTTACTCACATTGTATAACGTCACGAAAAAATATATGTTTTACATTGGCTAAAAAGTATGAACTAAAATTTGCATTTCAATTATTAAAAGGCACAAACTTTTCTAATGATTACTTCAAATGATAAGAATGGTAGACAGTAATTTCATAAATCTTATTAAGGATAAATTACAATACACTAGTGACGTTTCCATAGAATTGTATTCATGTCTATATTTTAAATGAGTTGAATATAGAAACGGTTATTACATTTCAGTTTATAACAAATATATGTTATATTTGATACTAGAAATTGTGATTGTAGAGCAGAAAAAAGTTTTATTTTTTTGACAGCATTTACGGAGTTTAAAATATGATAAGTTATCATTGATAACCATATACTTGCTTATGGAGTAGATCCTTTAAACTTGTGACCATTTTCACTAATATCTACTGATGAAATAATTGGACCACCCATACATTTAATTAGAACTGCGAGAGAGAAAAAAGTTATAYGTCTTAAAGAATATTATCGATGCATTTAGCTCTATTTTATTTATTAATWATTAATAATAATAATACCCATAGCTTAAAATTAATGATGTATATTTATTTTAAGGTAATTTAAAAAAAAAAATTAAGTTTTCATAATAATAATAATAATGTATACTTAATTTTAGGAATTTAAAAACAAAAAATAAGTTTTTTATAAGTTATTGTAAAGACCATTATACGAATTAAATTAATAATATATACTATACTTTAATTCTAATTTTAAATTTAACTATAAGTTGAATTAACTGTCAGAAAATGGACAAATCGAATATTATAATGAACTCTACAGACGCAGAAGATACTGAAATTATGAACGCATTTTTTCGTGGACCACCACTACTTCTACAATCAGCAGATATGAATGATGATGATCTGAATACAATAAACTCCCATATCAAATATCATATTATGGACATTTCTCAGTCAGATACTAATCATGGGATATTAACCGTTGATGAGCCAACATCGGAAGAAATGAAACTTAGATAATTTCTGTCTGRATGGAATCTTTGAAGTGTTAGCTGATGAGTTCATTGGTAGGTATACGATTATTTTTAATTCTAAAAGTATCATATTATTAATAGTATAATAAATTTGTAACTTTTTTTTGTTTTACAGCTCAAAACGTTTATGTCGATGTCTTTAAAATTGTCAAACGTCATCAAATTGAACGTCTACTCAAAGGTTTTGATTTAGGGATGTAATTTAAATTTGAAGACAAATTAGAAAAATAGCGTGATTCTATTGGAATTCCACTGAGTCCAATTAATCAAGATTGTCAAAGCTCATCAGCCAGATCCATTTTTTCTGCTCCTGGATCTATCACTAAAACACCTACAAGGTGTTTATGCCATATCAGAGATCTACACCTAGTCCTGAAAATACATGTATCGGGATGATGCTATCTGACGTTTTTAATGAAACTTCGAAAGGAAAGGGCCATGTCGATTATTATAACAAGTTTTTAGGTTTTCATGAAGATCAGAGATCTGTTCTAATATCATTAATTGTTAATTATTATGAAGAAAAAGGTGTTAAGATGTCTTTAGCTGCCAGTTACCAATTAGAACAACAAATTCTGGAAAGGTTTCCGTCTGAGAAATTGGTAATATACGATTATTATTATTATTATTTAAATTAGTCATTATTATACATTTATACTCTAAAATACTGGAATTTTATTTTTTAGGAGTATTACAGAACTGGAAATAGAGGCAAACTTTATAATCTAACAACATAATTTAAAGTGGTATCAGGCCTTTTGGAACACTCTGCAAGAAAAACCTCTTCTGTTAATTCAGATAAATTTAGCAGACATTTGAACAATTTCGGTAAAATATTCTTATTTATTACTAGGGTGCGGATTTGTATGTATTTACATATTTGTCGTGAATGATAATATTTGAATGATTCCTTTACAGAAATATGTTACAGGACTATCTGATTATTTTAAGCTATGGTTGATATTACATATTCTTACATATTTAATCTAAATTACATATTTTTACATATTTTACTGATATTACATATTTTTGTTAAATATTGAGCTATTTACAGAATTAGTAATGTATCGCCGTTTTATATTATGAGTAGTTATCTTCTCCAGTCCGTGCGTGTGCAAATTATAATCGCAAGTTGCGACTATTAGTACATAGTCCACACATTATCGACCCAGTTATTGCTATACACGTTTCGATAAATTTTTTAATACATACAAATCCGCACCCTATTTAATACTTATAGACTACAGTATAAATAATATTATTTTTCAGAGCCAGAAAATGATGCAGAAAGCTGTATTAAAGCACTTAAATTTGATTGCCCATAGAAGGCTTATTGTAATTCACGAATTCAATATATTAAAAGCAATACCACTAAAGAGATTATGGAAAAATGGCCATTTTATAAATAACCAAGTGGTTATCGACTGGTATAAGTTTTTTTAGTTTTATTAAATGTACGACTGTACGAGTATACTTTTTTAGATTGACATGGACTTTGAGGCATCATTTACTCCACATGATATACTTCTAGAAAAATGGGAAGCATATTTTAATGACATCATACCTWTTCTATCTAAATAAAACCACGTCAAAGATAGATCAGTGAAAAAAATCCTTGAGACATTATCAACTGATGTTGGTATATCAAAGAGTAAGCTAAAATTATCTTCTTTTTTTATTTAAATGTTTGCATGTATATGTAAATGTATTATTATTTTAGATGGTCRGACATGCTGCTCTGATATGGGCATTCCACGGTTACTTAGTCCCAACAAATAGAATAATCCGAATCGATCCCAATACATCTAAGAAGACAACTATAAAATTCACCATCAAGGACTCACAAGAATCTGTTATTTTTGTTGGTGACACGCAACAAAATATTGAAGACTACATAGACCATGTCAGAAAAACAAAAACTTCTCTACAGCCTTCACTTTTCTGCGTTGGGCAAGATAATTTCTCTATCACAGATATCTTTCTTTTCTTTAATGGAGTGCRTTACAATTTTAAAAGTGTCTTAAAAGCATTGGATATTTGTTTTAAAAGTATATATCTTTTTGATTTACAATACCTGAGGAATCGAATATGTTTTACACATTTTTAGAATGTTTTTTTTATAATTTTAAAAGCTCAAAAAGTTACACAAAAATTCATATTCTTTTAGAATATTTACAAATAAATTCACATTAATTTTAATCATGCATATACTTTTCTTTATGATAATACATTTCTATTAAAGTTTAAATTTTATTATAAATATACATTTGATTGAAATTTAAAGAAAAAATGTCCATATCATTAAAATAATCCTGTATTAACTATGAGTATTATTTCTGTATTCTTAACTTTGTTCAGTTTGTCAACCTTTATTTATATAATTAACAATAACAATATAGTAAGTAATAACTTATTTTTAATTATTTACTCTTGGGTGTTTTATATATATTATTTATTATTACATATCATAAATTGTTTTATTATAATAATATTATAATATTTTGAATTTATTAATGAAATAAAATATAAATATCATTTTGTACATAAATATTGCATTCGTCAATTAATCAGAACATAAACATTGAGTCAATAACAACTATTTATTGATATAATTATCTGTATAACTGAATTAAGAATTAATACATATTACATAAATAATAAGACGTCGTCAATATAATAAAATAAATTGTTAATCTAATAAACTTAATACATAATATTAGTAATTCTGATTTTATATACCTAATTTAACAAATATTATAAAAAACAATACTAACCGTTTTCCAACCAAATTTACATTTTCTCTTATGAAAATCTCATCCATGATTATACCACAGTAGAYTGTACCACTTACAGTTTTTTATTTTCATTTCATCAAGTTTTATTTTTATAGCATTTAATGATTCATTAGTGAATCTAGGTGAACCATCTATTGTAGCATACTATTTTCTTATGGTACTTGGATGTGGTAAGCATTTAGAAAATTTGCTTCTAACATACTTATAAGCAGCAGGAGAGTAGAATTGTAGTGTCAATGCAAAAGTCCTAAGTTCAGGGGAAATCTTTTTTCCTGTTTTTTTATTTAACTGTTTTAAAATTAAGTCACATTCAAAAGTTGGTAATGATTCCTATCTAGAAAAAAAAAATGTATTAATACATATACATATATAAATTAATAGGATAAGAAGATAGGAAAAATCAAAGTCAATGGGAAAAATATAATAACAATAAACAACACCTTTTTTCAGTTCTTATTTTCAAAAATATTAAACGCTTATAAAGAAATCTTTATGTTAATTTTTTTTTCATATAATTTTTTTTATAAAAACCAAAAAAAAAAAAAACAGTTTTTGTTATGTTTTTGGTACTGGTTTAGTTGATTCCTGCCACTTGTATTTCTCTTATATTTTTAATACTGTTGTATTTAAAAATTATAATAATAATAACACAATAAATACAAAATATACAATTTATACCAATATATCATACTTATGTATTTATTGTGTTGTTATTATTATTATTTTTAATAGCACAGATTTTCATACTTTTTTATCTACAGTAGAATAGAAAATTTGTATAAAAGATGATTAGCACATCGAAAATACGAGAGATATTAGTGGCTGATGTCAACTAAACCTGAATGATGAGAGAATACGTGGGCTAGTGGGCGTCAACTAAACCAGTACCATGTTTTTTTTTTTTTTTATTTTGATTTAGTTTACCTTTAATACCTACTGTATGACATGTTACTGAAATTTTATTTTCTTCCTTTAAATGATCAATTAAATTACCCATCGTTTTAACTTTATTGAGAAGGCGTTGATTCCTTTTTCTTGAATTTTAAATTTTTTTGGCWWAAGTTTGACTATTTTTTTGTGTAATATACCAATATTTGCACCTTTTAGTTGGACTATTTAAATCTCCTTGACTGAAGTTACCCGCCTGTAATTTATAAAAATTGTATTAATATAATAAATAATTTTATTATAATAAATCATATCATATTATTTTAATTACTTCTTTCTAACAACAGAACATATGTTAAGTAGGTACTTCAGGAGTTTCAGGTATAACAACCAGATTTGTTTCTGGACTATCTAGATATTCAAAAATATTATATTGAATATATTTAAAAAATACTTTTTAATACATTTAAATGTAGTTATTTTATAAACATAAATATCATGTATATGAGTTATTTATGACTCTGTAGGCTGATTAAAAGATAGATCATCAGTATATTGAGAAATATCATTTTCTGGAATTTCTAAATAATCAAAAGTTGAATGTATATAAATAAATTTATAAGACTTATAAGTAATTATTTACCAGACTCTGAAGAAATATTTGATAATAATGATTCATTTCCAGTATACTGAGAAATAATTCGAATTTGTTCATCAGTTGGTAAATCAAAAATTYGAACCAATGATCGACGTGGAGCTAAAATAATTAACAAATTATAATGTTTAAATATAATATTTTTTTTTATATATATTTATATACTTGGTCTAAAAATGCTTGGAATTKCCTCTTTATTTAATTTTTTTTTAGTGTAATCTGTTTCAACAAAATGTGAGTTACAAATTCTTGTTTGATTTGAAATGTTGAATGATGGTTGATGGCTTTGTATAACTTTCAACCACAATTCRGCACGAATTTTATCAGCAGGAAATCTGTCAAAAATAATTGGCTATCTTCCTGTATGCGCTCTACCCCAGATTGCGGTCTACCTGCGATTATTGGACGATTGTTGTATGCGCTGTACTATAAAATTTATATCTTTAGTGTCGTGACTTAAAATTAATGGTAATAAAGATTAGAACTCTCTTTTTCTACATCATATCATATTTTTTGATCGTATAATATTAGTCGTTGGGTGACAATACTTGAGTTCATACACGGTTTTATACTTTCACCATGTTACGTTCAAAATGTTAGCAATAGAATTTTACAAAATTATACAAAATGAAGAAACAGTTACTAATTTTTTAATTGCGAAAAATCTATTAGTAAATCTAGAAAATCTAGAAAACATTTTATTGCTATGGACTAGCGTCCCGCATTGTCTAGTTMACGGTCAACTAGGTACCAGCCGAACCAAGATAGGGTAGGGTGCGACCAACTTTGTAATTATAAGAGAGAAAGCATTTCGTGGAAATCATTAACGTTAGGGCAACACGAAATCATGTGGTTAGACGACCATAAAAGATCATTGATAGGTGTGCACAGGATGTGGGGTTATGCATCAATACAAAAGTTCCAAGAACCAATGTTATAATGTAATATCATAATATATATTTTTACATAATAATAATATTCATAATAATATAAATTATCGAGGTCTGCAGCTGCACGGGATGCACCTTTTGACTTGTATGTGGGCGAGTAACATTTCTGTCAGTCTAGATAATTATACCACATCCGTGAGAACAGCGACAAAAGCAAGTAGATTATGGGGAGCAGACTATATAAGAGACCCCAAAACGGCCTGTATTCAGACGCGACTTGACCAGACTAGCCAGAGCACCTTCACGCCAGTCTGTTGTTTAATTTAATTTATTGGACTTAGAAAATTTCTACACTACTACTAAACAATATTTTGAACTTAGAAAATATTCGAGTCAAACCGAATTTATTCTAATCATTCAGAATACTTAACTTACATTCCGCTTTCATGTTATAAATAAATATATGTTTTACCACAATACATAAACAATTAATCTAATTAAGATGAATTCTACGTTGTGTACTTAACTCAAGAGTCACCTTCCAACATCATCCTTGAATACTGATACCTGTAGGCGACGTGATCACTACATTATGCAATAAATGTGATAGTGAAATGAAATATTACATAAAAAAAGAGCGCGGCAAAGAAAGAAAATTGTTGAGGTGTAAAAGGAAAGGGTGTCAAACCACTCAAAGCATAAGGTAAGAAACATATGTGTTATTTAATATTTCAGGTATAATATTGTTCATTAATTACCTATATATTACATAGAAAAAATAATAGTTTTTGGACGTACATTGACAAAAATGGCCGAAACAATAGTGGATTGACTTGAGTGCACAACTTGAACTGGTCTATTATTGGTGTCAAAATATTAAACAGACTACAATTATAAGTTTAACCGGTAGATCACATAATAATATAATACAGTGTGTGACTGGATGAACTTGTGCCGTGATGTACCAGCAGTCAGAATGTTCGAAAATCGTACTAAATTGGGAGGACTCGGAATAGTGATCCAAGTTGACGAATGCTTATTAAGAGGATCGAGGAAAAATAATAAAGGTCGACTTCGACTTGCAGATTTACCAGCCGAAAATCTTAACGTCACGACGACTCGGAAAATGTTAATCCTTTAGAACACGGAGAAAGAAACTACGGAAAACGGCTTGATGGACCATGGGTATTCGGCTTGTGTGACAATAAAGAAGGAAGGTATTTTGTTGTCCAAAAAATGGACAAAACGACTTTACACGAAATCATACAAAGAGAGGTTATTGCTGGGTCTATAATACATTCCGATGGCTGGTCAGGGTATAATGGACTCTCGGACCACGGGTACAACCACTATGTTGTAAATCATAGCGAAAATTTTGTAGATCCAATATCCAAGGCACATACCCAGAGAATCGAAAGTTTATGGCAGCCTCTAAGACTGAAAATCGTGAAAAATATGTGTGGTACAACTCCAGATTTGCTTCCAAGGTATAATATATTATAATATAATAATAAAAATACGAAGGTAAATATAAATATAATAATAATTACAGGTGTCTCATTGAAACGTGGCGGAGAGGAATTAATAAAAGTGACATATTTAACGTTTTTCTGAGGGACATGGCACAAGTATTTTAATATTTATTTAAAATATTATTTAATTTTATATTTATTATGTATAATTATTATTGAAACAAATAACGAGACGGCGACAAAATGATGACGTGCGTTGATATTATAATATAATCATTTTTATTACTTTATTCATAACAATTTTTGTTCGTTATTAAAACCACTTTACATCATCCCACTTATTACTTGAATATATTGTCTATAAATGAAATATAGTTGTAGGGTGGAAAAACACGGTAGAGCGCATACTGCAGTCGCAATGCTGCTGGTAGAGCGCATACAGGAAGATAGCCAAATAATTATTTACTAACTAATTTATTCATGTGAACAAAAGAGTAATATTTACACATTTTATTCTCAATTATATTATTATAAAATACAAAAATTGCACATACCTATGCATCATGACATCATTTTCTTTAGTACTCCGATTTCTGCAAGATGCAATACCACAAACAACAACCATTTTAAAAATTACCTACACTTCTAAAAAACTTAAAGTCATTATGAAATTCAGAAAGTTGCAACTGTCAAATTTCAATAATATTTACTACAGATGATTAAGTGATTACACTGAGATAGATAACAACTACTGGTGCGCGGACTGGCTATGTTCATAATGTAATAGAAACGAGCCGTGTCGAATACCGTTACCCCCACCACCGAATGGCAACTTATTTAAATTCGCATTGCTTAACACTGGATTTTAGTTAACTTTAACTTAAAGTTTCAGAGAAAATAATGATCGTAGCCGATTGAGTTTGGTATCAAAATTTTTATCTTGATGTGGGCTTTATATTGATATGTTTAAAAGCTATTAAAAATATTTATAATGTTTTTAAAKTTGCTTCAAAATACTTTTGAAAAGTATTACAAGTTCAGAGTCCAGAGATGTATTATCACAGAATATAACAATTATATTATATTATATTACGAGTATGTACATTTTATTCCAATCCGACTATGAATATTCTTTTATCTATGAATATAGGTATATGATAGGTATATTTATATTATAGTATACACGTTATAACTACTCCTATTTACAAAATAATACTATAAGATATTTGTATTAATATATTTTTCTTCTTTTCAATCTCTGTCCTCCAATTATTTTGTATATTTTTTATCTTTATATTCTCAATTATCTTTAAAATAATAGTAGGTACATAAGTATTCATAAATTATCATTAAATAAAATATATTTGAATATATATTACCTAACCTAGGTATTAGAGCATTCAAATGCCGAACAAGACATAATCATTTTTAATATTTAAAAAAAAGTTGTTTGATAACTTAATTTTAGTTTTTTTTATACACGTTAAGTCACCACTAACCACGCATGAAAATGAAATGATACAAAACATGCTAAACTGAACACCAACATACTTCCCCCCTTTGAAAGAATCTATCTTTCAAAACTTACACATGAAATATAAAACAAAAATACTGAATAATTGAAACCTGATAGAGGGGCATATGCTATATACAATAAAAAAAATTATGATGAACATAGGAGACTTATCTGCTTATCTGTAAGAATAATACGGCTACACAGCCTAATAATAATATAATGATCCACAACAATGTCTATATAAATAAATAATATGAATAAAAAAAATAATAATAAAAAAAAAATACATATAAACATTTTTTTTCTTTCATATATCCTTTAAGGCATACACAACCCAAAAAAAAAATTTTTTTTTAATGCTTGGTTTTTATACTTAATGGTATAAAAAAATATATCATGAAAACAGAATGTGAAAAAAAAAAATTATTTACAGAGTTACGGTGAAATCCAAATATACCTGTGACGTCATTGCGTCGGACGTCTCCGCGCGGCACTGGCAGGCGGTCGCAGCAACCGTATGAA